AGAGAGAGGGCATGTGAGCAGGAAAGGGGCAGAGGCAAAGAGAGAGAGAGAGAGAGAGAGAGAGAGAGAGAATCCCAAGCAAGCTCCATGCTGTCAGCATGGAGCCCAACATGGCGCTCAGTCCCACAAACCATGAGATCATGACATGAGCCGAAACCAAGAATTAGACACTTAACCGACTGAGCCACCCAGGTGCCCAGGCCAGACTTCTGATTTCTCTTTCATTGAAATTGTCTTCCTCTAACTTGGCTCCCTAACAGGGCAACCAGAGTGATCTTCCTGAAATGCAAATCTAATCATGCCCCTCTCCTGCTAAAATCTTCCCATGGTTCCCCATTGTTCTGAACATCCAAATTCCTGCTCACAGCCTCAGAGCTTTTTCATCATCTGGCCTTCCCCTGTCTCCAGACTAATCTCTGACCCTCCCTGCCTGGCACTTTATAGTTCACCGTTGCCTAACTGCCTTTAGTTCTCTGCACATATCATTCTGTTTCTTACCCTGCTCTTTCATTAAGCCACCTTCTCTCATGAATTACTTTCCTGACCTTTGCCTGCCTAACTCGTATTCATCCTACTGTGAAACAGTCTCCTGCTCTACCCAGCCCACCAAATGCCATTTAAGGTGTCCCTACCCAGGGCACCCACAATATCCTGCACCTGGCACATATTACATTATTTTTACATGTTAATCTCCCCTCGCCAGACACTTAACATAGGGTCTCTGTTTTTGTTCTTTAAGTGCTTAGACTATACTAAGTGCTCAAAATGTATTGAAGGCTCAGTTCCCAAGGGCACAAATTTTAATTTATGGCAATGTAGCTACCATATGGGACATGTTACAATGTGCCAGATGCTGGGAAGCAACTCACATTCCCTCATTGGTTCCTTACAGTCCCCTGAGATCACTATCATCAATTCCATTTATGTAATGGGGACTTAGAGAGAGGTGAAGGGACCTGCCCAGGGCACATAGACAGAAAAAGGTGGAGCCACGTTTGCCCTTCTCAGAGTCCTAAGTCCAAAGTCGAGCCTATGCAGTCAATCAGCAGTGTGTAGAGACTTCTAACTGCCTGCTCCATCTATTCTCTCCTTTCTCCTTGGTGACAGAACCACAGTTTTATTTGGCGTGGCAATGTGCCCCATTAAAGGATTACATTTCAGCTAGGTGTGCAATATGACTCAGTCCTGTGGGATTTCTAGAAGTCTCCGTCAAATGAAATGTGGCCAAATGACTAGAGCCCCAGCAGCCATATTGAGCCATGAAGTGTACTTGAATCTGGAAGCCAGGATTGAAAGTGACAGCGCAGAAAGGTAAGGAGAGTGGGTTCCTGAAAACGCTGCAGGCCATGTTGATCATGGTCTGGCTGTCTCCAGACTTAATACGAAAGGAGAATAAACTCTAGTTAAGCCACAGTGCAGCTCTGTTAATATGCAGCCAAACTGGTACAAAGGGTAGAATCTCACCCCTCTTGATCCCCTAGGGGCCAATTCAGAGAAGGAGAAGACAGCATGGGTGATATAAAGTGTTTCTTTATTTGAACGTCATTCCACCTGCACTGAAGCTCAAATCCAGCAGCAGCAGAAGGGGTCAGGACCGAAATAAATGTTACCAAACTGGACGATGAACAGCGAGGACACACTCAGACAGAACTTACTAATGGGGTGTAGACAACACCGAGCTATCCTAACGACACACAGCACAGGCCCCTGAGGTCTGCTGGTCAGAGCTCTGGGAAGGACCCTCCCCCTCATTCCCTTCTCAGGAAACTCCAGGCCCACCCGAAGGCTAGCCCTCAGCCAGGCAGGGATCTGCGCAAGTTTCTTGTGCTGGGAAGGTCCCAGCTTCTCCAAAGAGGGTTCCCCTGTCTCACACTGGAAGCCAGAGAAGGCTGACTCCCCTGTGCCCAAGCAGGAATCTCAAGGCCAAGGAATTTCCCTACAGCCTTGTCTAAAAGCTCTCAGCTTGGCTAGTCCAGGCCTGAAAAGAATCAGTCCTACCTATGGTCCTCACTCCCTCAGGAAAACCATGTTTTCCTCCAGGGGTACTGGTCCCCAGATAGGAAACTCTTCACATCGTAGAGATCCAGGACTTGACCAACCAGCACTCTGAACCACCTCCATGTTGTGGCTGCTTCAGCCTCTCCTGAAAGTCCCCAGACCACAGCAAAGACAACCTGTTACCCCCTAGACCCCTCTGATCAAGTCACAGCTCGGGGAGGAGTGCCTCCATAGGCCAAAGGTCAGCTTCTTTCAAGAAGCAAGAATCCCAGAGGCCATGCTGAGGTGGGATCTCTGAATCCGCCTCCTCCCAAAGGGAAAAGCCAAATCGCCTGCCTTGGCTGAGGACAAACCACAACCCCCCCTCCCCCATCCGTGATGACTTCCTTGCCCCCCAGAAAGCCATCTGGGCCACAGGGTGATGGTGCTTCAGCCTCACATGGGGCCCCTGCCTGAAGTATGTTCCTCACTCTGCTCCCAACTGTGCTGAGCCCTCAGGGATAGGGCTGTGGGTCGGTGCCCACTCCAGCCTGTCTTCTCCACCCGCCCCCCCCCCCCCCCCCCCCGCCGTTCCTCCCGCACTGCCCAACCCTGCTTCCCTAACCCCACCTCCGCTCCTAGCCCCTTCCTCAGCAAGGTGGCAGCTGGCTGGTGCCTGGTGACGTGGAGGCGCTCAGACCTCCCTCAAGGGGATCAACCTCCCACGTCCCTCCCACTAACCCACTTAGCGGTGACCCGGCCCCAAAGAGGTGGGCGGGAGCCTCCGCCTCTGAGGGTGTTTCTAACATCCCTCCCCTAGAACAGGGCTCCAGTGCCCCCAGCCCCCCGCAGGCTTCGCTGGGGGAACAGGAGCCCTGGGCACAGGGCACACACAGCAGCCACTTCTCTTCCTCATTGTCCTGCCCCCATTACCCTCGTCTTCCTCATGCCATTCCCCTGCACCCCAGTCTGCCATCCACACCGCACCTCTCCATTTACCTCCTTCCCTGTCCGTATTCCTTCTCCATCTTCCCAGCCACCCAACACCTCCAGGCTCTCTGCTTCAGGGTCCCCTCTCTGCTACACGCTTCACCTCTCCTTTCTGCATTTCTCTGCCTCTCTCTACCCCTTCCCTCCCCTCTCTCATTCTTGCTCTCTCCTTCTCTCCCCTTCCCAACGACTGGCTCCCTCCCACGCACCCTGCAGCCTCCCAACAGTGGGCTTTGCTTTGGATCTTTAAGGAACTTCTCCCCCCTTCCCTCCCCGCCCCCCCCGCCCCGGCACCCCTGCCTCCCATGAGGCTCCCCAGACCCTCCCACTCAGCACAGGCCCCGGGCTTAGAGCCCCGCCCTGCAGGAAGAGCCCCGGGGGAGCAGGAAAGGGGAGCATGGGCCTGGAGCCAGAGCACCAGGGGAAAGGGGTTTGCCCGGGAGTGGGGGGGATCAGTGGAGAGGGTGGAAGGTCAGGACTTGGTAAGTTCCAGGTTTCCGGAATCCTACCAGGACCCAGTGTCTGACTCCGATTAGGGTCCAGATGGGGGTCTCAGGCAGAGGATTTCTAGGGTCTGTCTTGGAAACCTTCTCAGGTCCAAGTCCTACAGAAATGAACACAAGATTGGCAAATACATGGCACTCGCTGCTTTTCTCCCTCCTTTGGTTTGAGGCCCAGAGAGGAAGTGATGACACAAGCTTCTCCCCTGAACCTGCAGAGGCCTCGCGCTCCTGCTACACAGCGGACCAGTACTTCCCCAGTACCTGAAGACGGAAGTAGGCACGCTAGATGAAACCAACCCGCCACCTGAACTGGGGACAGAAAGGGGCCGTCCATGCCCCAGGCCAGATGGCTGTCCCGGCCGTGAGGGGAGTTTAGAAACACCTGGAATCTCCCTCATTTGCTCCCGGCCAAGGGGAGAAGGAGATGCCCCCACATTAGGAGGGGGAGGAGAGAAGACTCCTCATTTGCCCCCTGCCACACATACGTACACACACACACACACACACACACACACGTGCGTGCACACATTCACACTATCACACGCATGGGCGCGCGCACGCACACGCGCACACACACATACACACACTCTCATGCCTCAGCTCCAAGCACTGCCCACTGGGCTGCAGACCCTGGGCATATCGCAAGGCGAGAGGTGGGCAAGGGGAGGAAGTGGAGGTAGGGATAGGGTTACAAGGCCTGGGGATGGGGACAGGGGGTACCCTGTTCAGAGGTGACCTGCAAGTTCAAGTTATGCAGAAAAAGTATCAAAGAGGCAAGACAGTCTCTGCCCTTGGCAGATGCCTGGGCTGGGGGCATGAGAAGGGGCAGAGGGGTGATGTGCCCTCTAATCCCCCACTCTCGGGCCCCCCTCCCAAACCCCCAGCCCTGACAACAGGGCCAAGAAGTCTGTGCTGTACAAAACAGGCCGGGGTCAAGGGTCCAGTCACCGGTGAGACGCCCCAGCAGGGAGGAGGCCGGGCCAGCCCCAGCTGCCATGATCAGACGCCACCAAGACAGGAGTCCGAGCACCCCCTCCTCCTGCCTCCAGAGCCTGCCTGTCCGCAGTCTCTGGGCTGCCCAAGGCCCCGGTCAGCTGCTGACAGGGAGGCCCTGGGCTTTCTCCCTCACTGCAGCTCAGACTCCTTTGCGAGAGGTGAGAACAGGCTGGAGCGGGTGGCAGAGAGGCCCCGGGGAGGCTGGTGGCCCTGGAGCTCTGTGATGATGTGCTGGGACCATCATCGGAGGGCGAAAAAATAGGAAAGAGTCCGGTCCCCCCTCGGCCAGTGTCTTGAATAAGTTTCTGCAGTAGGCAGGGACCGGAGGAGGCAAGGACACAGGCAGGCGGCAGCCCTCTGGACTGAGGGGGCCTGGGGAGCTGGCACCACAGCGCCTCTTCCTCCGGAGACTCTGCAGGGCCCCCAGGCCAGGCTAGAGAGGAAAGGAGAAGCCCAAGGGCCCGGGGCTCCGGCTCCCTTAGGTCACTTGAGGGAAGAGCAGAATCAGGCCCTCCCCCACACTGCATCCCCGCCCCGACCTCTTCAAAGCCTGGAGCTACAGGCAGGTAGCAGGTGAGAAGTCAGTCCTGGATGGGGTCTTCCCCTGGAGCTTGAATGAAGGGATGAGAGGGCAGGCGACGGGAGAAGCTGAGGACAGGTCAATTCCTGGGCTGTGATCCTGGCCCTCAGGGTCCCTGTGAGTGAGCGACGGGACAGGGGAGGACTCCCCATCCGGAGACATCACCCCCTGGCCGCAACACGGAGCTTACTGTAGAGCTCACAAAATCTATGAGAGAGAGAGAGAGAGAGAGAGAATTGGAGAAAGTCAGAGACTGCCAGGACACTGGGGCTCCCCTTGGCCACTCCTGAGGGCAAATCTGGGCAGGGAAGCGACCTGCACAGGCTGTGAAATCCCAGCCAGGCCTGCGGCTAGCTGGATGGTCTTGAGTGGGCCATCTGACCCCCCTGAGCCTCAATTTCCTCATCTGTACATGGGTCATAATAGCCTACTTCACAGGGTGATTCTGAGGGGTGATAAAGACACAAATCATTCTGGCTAAGGACTTTCTCACAATGCTTAGTGCCTAGCAAATTCTGGAAATGATAGTAATTCATTTTATGTTTTACTTTTGTCCTAGAGGTCTGGCTCAGAACTGAGCTGTGAGGCTCACTCATCTTGAGCTCCCAATGAGGGGTGGAGACCCGTTGAGGCTGAGGGAAGGCTGGGGCTCCTTCACATCACCTTTAACACAGAGAATAGGGCACTTTGAGGAGGGAGGAGAGGACGGTGGGTGGACCCACCTCACACCCATCGTTAGCCCAAACCCCGTCTTCAGAAAGGCCAAGGCTCTTAGTCATGCACTTCTGGAAGCTGCCACCAGAGGGCAGGCCCTGACCTCACACCAAGAGCACAGAAACCACCAGGTCAGGGTCTCCAGGGACTGGAGCCTCACAGAAAGACAGGTTAGCACCCCCGCAGCCCAGGAGGGCCCTGAAAAGGAAGCAGGCAGCAGGAAAGAGTTTGGCCTTTGAACTTGGACCTGGGTTCAAATCCTGACTGCAGCGCTTCGGTGACCTTGGGCAAGTTACTGGACCTCCCCGCGGCCTCACTTTTCTCATTCATAGAACGGTGGCCATGATGTCTGCCTGATGGGGAGTCTTGAGGAGTGACAGCTTTTTCTGAGTATCCACCAAGTGCCCCTTAATAGACATAATCTTTCTTCTTCACAGGACAGCCTGTAAGGTGGTACTGTTCCCACCACCCTCATTTTATGAAGTGCAGGAATCTAAAGCTCAAGGACACGAAGTCATTTCTTTGCTCAACCCACTTCCCACACAGATGGCCTGCCTTCAGTCCAAGGGTTCCCACCGCCAAATTAACCTGCCTCCTGCCAGATGAGATAATAACCCTCACTGCCATTATTCCCATTTCATAGATGAGAGACTCCAAGAGAGGACTATAATTAATGAAAAGTGCTAAATATAGACGCAGCACATGCTAATAGTCCAAGGCAGGGTGTGACTATGAAAACCACTATTCCTGTTTCTCACGGCAGGGAACGCACACGCAGACAGAGGGGAGTCTATCCACCGATGCCATTCACGCCTCCCCTTGCTCCAGGGGCAGGGTGAACTCCCGGCTCAGAAGACCAGCCCTCCTTTGGAGGGTAATCTGGCACTGTCATTACAAATTGCAAGTCCACTTCTGGAAAAACACCCAGAAAACACTGTGTATAAGAAGGCACAGACAAAGGTGTCTAGCGTAGCATTGTCAGTGATGGTAAAATCCTGGAAACCTCCCTATCAGTCCCTAAAGAGAGGATGCTTAAGAAATTACAGTTCCTCCATCTGACGTAATGCTAAGCACTGGATATAAAGGGTTCTCCATAAAAGGATAAAGAAAGATCTCTAAGACATGCTCTAGGGTTGGGCACAAAAAGCAGTCTTAGAACAGATTTGTTTAGGATGATGCCTATCCTGTGTTATATGAGCACATAACACTACGGTATATTTTATAAAGGGACACATAACATGTATTATGTCCACATATGCATAAACATCTGATAACAGTGATTAGCCCTGAGCCTCTGTCCTCACATGTCACTTTTTTCTTTTTTGTATTTCAATGTTACTTGATATATACAAAAGTTGATATGTAATATAATAGGTATGCAAACACCCGTGTGGGCTCACCGCGCAAGAACTGTGACTCCACCAATAATTTGTACCTGCCTACACACCCCCATCTCATGCTCCTGGCCTCCCCTCCTCTATCCCAACCACGGATAACCATCATCCTACCTTCTGTATTTATTGTTTCTTTACTTTTTTATTTAAAAATACAGCACTACCATAAATATATTTATGATTAAACCATACGTTCTTTTGTGTCTCTTGGTTTTCTATTGAGCTCCATAAAAATATCACTCTGTCACCTTCTGGAACTTTTTTTTTTCTCCTTCTCTTTCTCGATATTACATTGCGTTTCCAGGATGTGTCCATTCTGTCACTTATAACTAAAGTGCACTCATTCATTGTGCACTATTCCATGATAGGAACACATCCCCATTTACTTAACCATTCTCCTGTCAACGGCCATTGTTTTTAGTAGTTCGCTATTAGAAAGTGCTGCCAAGACCATCCCAGCGCCTCTCTCATGGGTTTATGCTCCTGGCTGGGGCTGCTGGGTCACAGACGTGCAAATGCTGGGATGTGAGGAATGACGTCAAGCGACTTTCACTGCCTGCACGCTTTCCAGCTTGCGTTTCCTCTCGGGACGTCACAGCTCCGGGCCCCGCCCCCGCCGCATGCGCACTCGCCTTTGTTCTCCTGCTTGAGCTCCTCCTGCAGCAGGTCTGTTTGCCGGTTGCCCAGCACGAAGGCGAGGAAGGAGAGGATGAGGGCGTTGAGGATGCCGATGATGGCCAGGATGTACGCCCAGCGCACCGAACAGTCCCCCAGGGAGTACTTCCCGGTCTTGGCCCCGCACATGTCCCGGATGGTCTCGGCGTCCCAGCCGTCGGGGAAGATCATGCAGCCCAGCACGAGGCACAGAGCTGCGGGGGCGCGAGGTGGGGCGCACGGCCGAGGCCAGGGAGGAAGAGAGAAGGGGTTGAGTACTCCCCGGAGCCCCAGCACCACCACAGCGGTCCAGCCCCCGCAGCAGGCCCCGCCCCCGCCGCTGCCTGTCCCTCCCCGCCCCCACCCCGCCCCACCCCACCCCCACCCCGCCCCACCCCACCCCCACCCCGCCCCACCCCACCCCCACCCCACGCTCTGCCTATCAACCCTAGGGCCTGTTAGCAGCTTCCAATGGGTTCCAGAAACTTTAGGGTCTCAGATGGATGGCCTCCTGCCTCGGGGAGCAGAAACTTTCCAGGACCCATAATGCCCCCGTCAAATCAACTCCTCCAGGAAGGCTTCGTGGAAATAACAAGAAAACAGCAGCCCACGGGCACATGCTTCAGCTCCCTTTAGCATCCTAACCACGCTTACCCCCTCCCAACCTACTCGTTTTTTCTTTATTTTTGTCATTCATTCAACAAACATTCGTCGAGCCCCATTCCCTTCCCTTCAAGATGCTGGACATACGTTCTCATTCAGGCAGTTGAGCGCTGCTCTCAAAGAAAAGACTGGGCTAAGTTCTTTCACTTACTGGGTATACGACCTTGGGGTTGCCGCCTGTTTGTTCTGTATCCCGGAAATAGTAGTACTGCCTCACAGGGTGGTGGTGAGGATCACCGGAAGGAAGGTGTGCAATACGCTCCGCACAGTGCCCGGCATTTCCTCACTGAGGGCCCCGTGTGTGCCGGGCACCCGACTGGGCAGGGGACAGGAGTGTTGCTTGGCCTCCAGCCTCAGAGGGCTTGCAGGCAGGCGGGGGAAAGGTCCATTAGAGCAAACACTTAGAGGGCTGGGGCTCAAAGCCTGACTCCGCTCTTTTCTAGATGTGGGACCGCAGGCCAGGCCCTTCACCTTTGATCCTGTTTTTCTCATCTGTAAAATGGGGCTAATGACGGTATCCACGTCGTTGCAAAGACGACAGGAGGCAGCAAATGTAAATGCTTGACACAGTAAATCCCAGAAATATGTTAAATGTTATTATCATCATCAAAACTAGTCAAAACAAACAAAAAAGAACAGTCACATAAATAAGGAAATTACTGGGGAGCGGGCAGCTTAGTTTCAGATGGTGGGGGAGGGGAGATGGGCGGGGCCAAGAAGAGCTTTCTAAGGAAACAGGCCCCGGCTGGTTCCCCACAGTGGCATCCACTCCCAGGGTTTAGTGACCCACCTCTGCCAATCCAAACCCAGTCTGAGTAGGCGCTTCACAGAACCCAGCCTAGTGGGTGGGACCTAAGTCTGAGCCAATCAGGACATCGCATTCCTCTGGTAACTGATTGGCTCGGAGAGCCGCACATGCCCCACCACAGCCAATGAGAGCCCCCCGGGCTCAGTAGGCAACGGGCGGTTGTGACCTTCCCCTCCCGCCACGCGGTGTGAGCCACCAGCCTCGTGACTTGCGACTCTGCCTGCGGGTTGATGTTACCCTGTCGCTGTCTGACAGTGCCACCAGCAACGAGGTTACTGTGTCTGAGAGCCGAACGCTCCGCACCAGGCCCATGGGGTGCTTAACCTGGGTTTTAGCAGACAGTGATGACAAAGAGAGGGTGGTGGTCCGTGCTGCCCACTGGGCACGTGGCCCATCTGATCCCTCGGGTGGGGAGGACGCCCTCAGCCTTGTCGGGTCTCTCCCTCACATGTCATTCAAGGAAGTGCTCCCTAGGCTCCAGACTCCCGTCTGCCGGTGCGCCGGGGGCCCTGGTTCCAAGGTTTCGCCTCCTGTGGCTTTCCCTGCCCTCCTGCGACACGACAGCATCCCCCACGCCCCTAGGCTGTGCCCCGCGTCCTGATGCAGGGTTCCCCCACAGCACTGTGACCGCACACGCACACATTTGGGGCTTTGCCCCCTCTCCGGTGCCTGCCTCCTCCAAGATGCTTCGCAGCTAGAGTACTGCGAGCGAGTCGCTTCCCGGCTGGGAAGGGGGTTCCTGGCAAAGGGGACGGCGAATGCGAGACGCCCTGGAGTGAAAATGAGCCTGGGGAGCTAGAGAATTCCACAAGTTCGAGGATGCACTTTGGACACCCTAATGGCGAGAGGTAAGCTCGGGGAGAAATCGGTTTGGGGATGGAAATTTGGGAGCAGTGGGCAGGCTCATCTCTGGGACTGCGGTTCTGGATACAGAGAAGGCCCGGCACCGAGCGCTGGGCGGGAAGAGAGGAGGAGCCTACGGAGAAGATCGAACCGCCCATCTCCCCAAATAGCCCAGACATTTTGCAAGGCATCCCAGGCCCCAGTCGGGGACGAGAGGAGGTTCGAACGCCGGGGCGGCGGAAGGGGGAGAAGGAATTCCCGGGTATCCGAGGCTCTGGCCCGGGTGGCGCGCTCCCGCCTCCTCAGCGAAAGGCTGGGGTGAGGAAAGGGGCCTGAGGATGGGCCAAATCCGCCCAGCCCCGCCCCCCAGGCCGCGTTTCCTCGCCAGCCCAGAGCGTCCCGTTTCCATGGAGACGGCGCCCGCGCACCCGGAGCTGCCGGCAGCAGCGCGGGGCTCCGCAGGGCGGGCCTCTCCCCTCGGCAGCTCCGCGCTCGGCCCTCAAGGACCCCCCTTCCCGTGGCCCTGCGCCCGCACGCCGTCGCCCTCGCCGCTCACGTGCCTCTGAGTCGCGAGCCTCCCCGTTCCTTTCTCTTGCCCACCCTTCCCACCTCTCTTGTTCCGCATCTGTCTCTTCACAGCCCTCCTCTCTCTCGGGCTTGTCTCCGTGATGCCCAAGTGTCGGCCTCGACCCTCCCTCTCCCCTGGTCTGGCTGGATCTCTCCACATTTAACATTCTTTCGTCACACCGCCTCTTCTCTCTTCCTCTTCTCGCTTCTCTTCCTTCTCTGGATCGAGCCCCTGGCCCTTTCCTCTCTCCGCCTCTCCCTTCTACACTGCGCTCGAAAACCCCAGTTACGTGCCGGGCGCCGCGCAGGGTGCTGGGGCCACTGGGGGCGTGGTCCCCAGGAGGGTGCGGGAGAACGGGAACCAAGTCAATACACCAACAGGATACTTATGCGTGTCAAGGAGTGCTGGCGAGGAAGCCTCCGGGTAGAGACCCGGCCTAACAGGCCGCTGGGAGGGGGCGGGGCGGGGCCTCCCCACCTCTAACTCTCCGCCTCCTCTGCCGTGCAGCGTCGCAGGTGGCTAGGGGGCCCCCAAGGCTGCTCAGGGAAGGGGAGACACCCAGAAGCCAAGCAAATGGAGAAAAACCGATCAGAGGGTTCCCCTGGACCTGGGGGAAGAGAGGAAGAGACCACCAGGGACAGCCTAAGACAAGGAAGGAAGTGACAAAGGGGTTGAACCCTCAGGAGACGGATGACTACAGGTAAGGCAGCTTTCAGCATCCCCACGTGCTGAATGAGAAGACTGAGGCTGAAGTCTTTGGAGTCTGAGATGGAGTTTCCTTTGGAAATAATGAGCCGGCTGCTCTGAGTCACACACACACACGGGTGTGGGGTGCCCTGTGGGGTAGAGCCTCTCGATGGAAACATTTTTGACATTTGACCTGATAACTTTTCATGATGGGGGGGGGGCGGGGCTGTCCTGTTTCTTGTGGGACGTTGAGTATCATCCCTCGTCTCAACCCACCAGGTGCCAGTGAAACACTTCCACCCACCACCCTCCCCCAGTCATCAAAAAAACATCTCCAGACATTGCCCAATGTCCCCCGGGGGGGGGGGGAGGCAAACCTGTCCCTGGTTGGAACCAGTGGTATAGAGGAAGGGGCCCTCCGATGGGGCATCTCTACCCATTACCCTTCAGTCCACTGACTTCCCCTGCTCCAAGCAGCCAGAAAGTGTTATGACAAAACTAATAATATGAATATTCATAGTTCATAACTGTAATAATGTTAACAAATAGCACGGAGTGCTTACCTACACAGCTCCTGACATTACGATCTTGTTTGATGCTATTATAAATCTATAAGGTGGGGAAAACCATCATCCTCATTTTATAGATGAGAAAACAGGCTCCGAGGAACCAAGTATCATACCCCATGACACGGAGCTAGTCAGTGGGGGGAATCTGTATTTAAACCCAGACAGGTCTTTACTTAACATTTTTCTTTTAATAGCCTCACTTTTTAACTTAGAGGCATTTGCTTAAAAAGTAAGCTTTATATCACTATCATAGAAAAGGAAACCAGGATCCTTTGCCACAAATAGAAGGCAACTATAAATATAATGAAACCAAAACAATGTTCTTAGATTCTAGCTGGATACTTTCGCCTGCCAAATGCTCTAAGCTCTCTCCCTGTTTAAGAGACTTAATAGTGTGTAAGGAGTTAAGGAAATACTAGCACCAAACTGAGCCTTTCTCCTTGAGGCCCTGAGACCCTGCCCACCTTGTATGGCCTCAACAGGAAGCTGAACTCCATTCTCCACTGTGTCACTTTAGGCAAAGTCGGTTTGCCTCAGTTTCTTCATCTGTAAAATGGGGTCATGACATCCACCCTACTTATTTCATAGGGCTTTTGTGAGAATCAACTGGCAGGTGAGAAGAGGTATGCAAATTATTACTCATGAAGTGGGGACAGGTCACGGCAACTCTTGGCAAAGTGGAAAAAAATTTTGGACAAAAGAGGTAAGTCTTTTTCCAGATAGTCCAGAACAGTTAACAGCCACTGCCTGGGGAAGGTGATTAGCTTAATTTTTATACAGAATCATGGCAGAGACCAGTACTTTGCTACTGTATCTGTTCATCCCCATTCCTTACTATTAGAACCCCCAGTCTTGCTGAGAACTTGACCATCAAAAACAGAGTTTCCACCTTCCTTTGCAGCTACATGACTCGGCCACACGAGCAGGTAAAAATGCATGCTATGTGTCTTCATGAAAAATAACTTTATAAGGATGCTAGAATGTGCTCTTGGCCCCTTTTTCTTCATCCATTCCTTCATCCTGCTGCCTGGAATGAAGAGGTGATGGCTGGGGCTCCAGCAGCCATATTCAACAATGAGGACAAGGGCCTTACCCAAGAGTGGTGAAGCAGAGCTCCAAAAAGAACTCTTGACTTCAGGGGCAACCATACCAGCTCTGGACTGTCTAGGTCTTGGGCATTTGTTTTATATAAGAGACTAGAACCTTAGGCCGTTAGACCACAATTATTTTGGGTTTTCCTATCATATGCAGCCAAGTCTAGTCCTAACTGTTATAATAATGTGTTATTCCTTTTGAAGTTTGTATCATAATGTATATATTGGGAGAACATCTCTTTAACTGTGTGTCCTTGGGCAAGTCACTTCACCTCTCTGAACCTCTGTTCTGTCATCATAGGGATGGTGATATTGACTTCTCAAGGCCACAGCATATACTGGGTGGTCGCCATCATCACTACAATGGGCATATGCCTCATTGTGGTGTGTGAAGGTGGGACGTCTCCTCTGCTTGGAGAACAACATGGCGGTATCCATCAGAATCATAAATGCACTTATCCCTGACTCAGAAATGCACCCCATGGCTGAACTTATGCATGTACACAGAGGGTGTGTACGGGGCATATTCACTGCACCGCCATCTGTATAACAAAAAACTGCAATGTCTATTAAGAGGGAACCTATTAAATAAAGTCTGGCATATCCATGCCAGGGAATACTGTAAAGCCATTAAAATAAGTGGAGAAGAGATGTATATGCTGTCATGGAAGATCTTCTAAAATATATTAAGAAATCTTAAAAATCAAGGTTCACAACACAGTGTATGGTGTAATCCCATCTACAGTTTTTAAGAAGGATGTACCTTCTTACAAGGTAGAATAGGTAGAAGGAATGAGTGGCTGTGAGGACTGACAGAGCAAGCTTTCTGACACCTGACGTCTGCTGCAAAAAGCGGTCGAAATTTTTTTTTTTTTTAATTTTAAGTAGGCTCCATGCCCCCCATGGGGCTTGAACTCATGACCCTGAGATCAAGAGTCATATGCTCTACCCACTGAGCCAGCCAGGTGCCCCAGCAACTGTCATTTTAAAAAATCAAACACATAGTGTTTCGGGCACTGTTCTAACGGCCCTATGTTTATGAATGAAGAAACAGACCCAGGAAGGTTAAGCGGTGTGCCCAAGGTCACATGTAGAGATAGCAGAGCTAGGGCCATACTCTGAACCACCTCTCCCCTTGGATACAAGAGCAGGTAGACAATCCACACACAGGCGTGTTCCCTCTCGTTTCAAAGAAGCAGGGGGCAGTCCAGACATACAATGGGATGTTATTCAGCCTTAAAAAGGAAGGGAATTCTGACACGCGCTATGACACAGAGGAACCTTGAGGACATTATGCTCAGTGAAATGTACTAGTCACAGAAGGACGAATACTTTGGGCTCCGCTGACATGATGTCCCTAGAGGAGTCAAGTTAACAGAGACAGGAAGGAGGAAGGTGGTTGCCAGGGGCTGGGGGAGGGGTGTGGAGGGTTCGTGTTTAAAGGGGACAGAGATTCAATTTTGCAAGATGAAACAAAGTTCTGGAAGACAGAGATGGGTGTGGGGCACAACATGCTGAAAGTACTCAATGCCATGGAACTGGGCACTTAAAAATGGTTAAAATGGTACATTTTATGTTATGTCTACTTTACCATGAGAGAGGGTGAAAAGTAGAGGGAACACAGAAAATGACATGGTATATTTGCCTCATGGATGTGTATGTAAATGCACAGAAAAAGACTTAGGGAAAATGGGAATTTAATTTATAAGAGTGGTGGCCTCTGGGCAGGGAGGGGGTGGGGACTTTAGCCTTTAGGTAATGTTTCAGCTTTACATATACATATATGTAACATATAAATGAACATATTCACTTATTACTTGTGAAATTTTAAAACATCATTTGGGCACCTTAGTGGCTCAATCGTTTAAGCGTGCAACTCTTTTGATTTCGGCTCAGGTCATGATCTGGAGGTTCATGGGTTCGAGCCCCGCGTCAGGCTCTGCACTGACAATGTGGAGCCTGCTTGGGATTCTCTCTCCCTCCCTCCCTCCTCCTCTGCCCCTCCCTCTACCCCCATCTCTCTCAAAATAAATAAACTTTTTAAAAAATGAATAAATAAAAACATCATTTAAGATATTGATTTTTCAAAGAATATACATATAAGCTTGCATGTCTATATACAGGTACACACAAGGTATACAGAAGCAATTTAATGATGGATGCCTCGGATATGTGGCCTGGGAGGTGGAGAGGGGCACACTCTTCATTCTGTGCCCTCTTATACTGTTGAAAGTGTCTAACATCTGCATATATTACTTTATAACAAAAACTATATTACTACGGACAATCCTTTTCCATCTATGCCAGACTATGAAATCCTCTTAAGGTTTTAAAAAGATAATTAAGAAATTAAAAGAGAGTTAAAAGGAAGAATGATACTTGAGTTTGGGAATGAAACTTGGATGAGACCAAAAGTAGTGAAGAATTAATAAGAGAAAATATACTATACACTCGTGTTTATTTTCTTTAAAGCTTGTGCTGTAAATGTGCCTTTAAGTAGAGCTTTTTAATGATGCGTTTTATGCTCAGCTATTTTAATATCATTTCATTATAACACTGTTACACCATCCTCAAGGGACCTTTGCTGAGCTGGGCGCTCCCACGAGGGAGACTTCTGTTTTTGCTCAGCTGCCCGCCCCATGCCTGACCTGTCACAGCTGCTACCCTTTACTGGGGAGGGGTGGGGGGCAGACGCGAGGTCCCCAGGGCGTTCGGTCCCTAGGTGACTGACTCCACAGAGGCTTGCTATAGACTGAACCGTGTCCCCAGAAAATTCATATGTTGAAGCCCTAACCCCCAGGGTGAGGGTATTTGGAGGTGATTAGGGTTTGGTGAGGGCTCATGATGGGATTAGCGTCCCCATAAAAGGAGACCCGGGAGAGCTTGCTCCCCCCCTCCCCCACCTCGTCAGCTCACAGCCAGAGGGCGCCTCTGCAAGGCCGGAGGGCGCTGTCACCAGAGCACGACCTTGCCGGAGGAGGAAAACGCTGGGAGCAACAACTTGGTGCATCCGAGAGCCATTCAGCTGAGGAAAAGTGTGATTCTGTGCATATACAGGTCAAAAACAGGCAACACTAACCTCCAGGCTCAAAAGTCAGGATAGTGATTCCCTTTGGGGGTAGTGATTGAAGGGGGCGTGAGGTTCCTAGTCTGGATGCTATTTCCACAGGCACGTTCACTCCGTGCAAATTCTCCGAGCTGTAGAGGTAAGGATTTTTGTGCTTTTCCCCAAGTATACTTCAATAAAAGCCAACTTTTAAAAAGGCTACATAGATCATGCTTCATAAGTAAACAGCAGAAAGAAACTAAGCGCCCACCAACAGATCACAGGTTAGACAGAGCACATCCATGCAATGCACACCATGTAGTCCTGAAAGGAACAAAGGAAGCCCTTGGTGTGCTGATGTGGGACGGTGTGTGGGTGTGCTTAGTGAAAGGCAAGGTCCAGAGCAACATTTGTGGCACGATGCTAGCGTTCTCTAAGGAGTGGGGAAAGAGTGTGTGTGTGTGTGTGTGTGTGTGTGTGTGTGTGTGTGTGTGTGTGTTTTCTTCTATGTACATAAAATATTTCTGGAAAGGCTTGTAAGACAATGGTAACCTTGATTACTTTTTTTTTTTTTTTTAAGTTTATTTCTTTTGAGAGAGAGAAAACACGAATCTGGGACGGGGAGAGAGAGAACCCCAAGCAGGCTCTGCGCTGTCAGCACAGAGCTCGACGCGGGGCTCGATCTAATGAACGTTGACAACTCACGCTCCAACCTTGGTTACTTCCAGGGAGGGGAATTGAGTGTCTGGAAGACAGGAAAGGAGAGAGACATTGCAGTGATAACCTGCTGCACATTTGGCTTCAGAACCATATGAAAGAGTGACCTGAAGCCAGAAGGTGGGCAGGAGTTGTCTACAAGTAAGTGCCTATTGACAGAGATTCTCACTCACTTGCAACGAAATAATGAACTCAACAAAAATGGCAATGCGCAGGCCGAATGTAACTCTCAGAAATAATGCGTCAGTCACAAAAACATAAAAATGAAAATCTCTAAACCCCTTTTGACTGAGCTTGCCAATTTCTGGGAATTTATCCTAAGAAAACCCTCATGGATATGCTCGAAGATTTAGCTCCAAGGATGTCCATCACGTTGTTACTTATGAGAGAGAGAAGAGGAGGAGAGGGGGAAATAATAAAGGAAAGCAGCAACTTATTATCCAGCAATATGGGAATACAGCTCTTTCATATTATGGAATACCATTCAGCTATGGAACTTCAATATAAATTTGCTCAGGTAGCTATTGAAGAATATTTAATGATACAGAAAATACTTATGATATGTTAGGTTTCCAGAGGCTGTAAAAATTAGCACATTATAATTTCACTTTGGGAAAAAATACTTACATAGTTACTGCAAATAGTTATATAGAATTTACCACGCCAGACACTGTAGTACTTTACACACCTTAGATCATTTAGTCTGCATAGTAATCTGCATTATACTTTTCTTTTTACAGATGAGGACACTGAGACTCACAGAGGTTATCCAGGTTATCCAAAGTCACACAGCTGGTAAGTTGCAAAACCAGCCAGCAAGGCTGAACCCAGAGAGTCTGGCTCTAGAGCCTGCTCATAACCAGTACTCTATACCCCTATGACTGCTTCTGGGAGCGTGAGATCACAGATGTAAGTTTGCTCATCTATAGTCCCCAGTTTTTCTACAAAGAACAACAATAACTTTACAAAGCAGTAAAGGTCTTAGGAAAGGGGAGGAACACAGAGCAGCGATCCAGCATAGAACACACGGCCAGCTGCTTGTGTTGCCGGTGAGTCCCTCCTTTAGGTTTAGGAAAGGATGAGGCTACATTTAGGGCTGAGAGGAGCCCAGTGAAGAGTTTGCATCCGCATTGAGATCCCAGCATTCCAATGAATTGCTTCCCCAGCGCGCGGTGCACTAGGGACTGGTGGTGACAACCTCCGACAGACGGACCCCCCAAGGGAAGGAGGGGGTCTACAGGCCCCTGCTTCTAAGTCTGAGCACTGGCTCTGCTCCCCTCGGACAAGGGAGACTGTAACAGTCAGCTCTTACCTGCCCACTGGATTTGTAGATCTAAGCCCAATCTTCATGCCTCTATCAGCCCGGGATGCTGGGGGTTGGGACTCCTGTGACCGGGCTCACCACCCCCCATCCAATCAATACCCAGATGCTAGGAGGCACCTGACCCCACTCTTCCGGATACCTGTACATGCAATCCATTCTCAAGGTCGACTGGCTCGTCCTCCCAAACTATCCAGGATCTGACCACTTCTCTCCATCTCAACTGCACCTATCTGTCCAACCGGCCATGACCCCTCCTAACTAGATGATCACCGGGGCCTCCTAAGTTCTCAGCTCCCGCGCTTACCTCATCACCAGCTGCTCCCCACTCAGCATCCACAGTGAACTTTCAGAAATGGATGGTGCCACTCCCCTGCTCAGTGCCCTCCGCCAGCTCCCTGGGTGCACTCAGGAGCACCGAAGTAGGCTCCCCCACCTTCCCTGGAGCCATTAGACTTCTATGCCATCAACTCTGGCCTCACTGGCCTCCTTTCTGTCCCTTAAAACAAGTCAAGTTCAGCCCCACCTGGAGGCCTTTGTGCTGACCATGCCCTCTTCCT